TTAAAAAAAAAAAAAAAAAAAAAAAAGCTGTTCCTGAGTATAAAAACTATTGTACTGTGACCCCATCTCTACCAAACTGTTGCAGTATTATTCTCCACAGATGATAAATTTCTGAGCTGGTAAGTCACTCTTCATTTCTTTCAAATCTAGACCTCGACAGATCTCTGCTGTTTATACTATGAAATACTCCAGGACTCCGCACTGTAGATCACATCAGTCTGAAGCCAGTGGGTTTTTCTAGATGTGTAGTTAATCAGGAACAGGTTATTTCCCAGTCCTCTGCCTGCAGATGCATTACATAGGCACTCCGAGTTCCTTTTGGACAGCTGAGCATTAAGTAATAACAAGAGGTTTCTCACATCAAAATAATGATGAGGGGAAAATGGATGAGTTTCAGAGAAAGCCTGAGAATGTTGAAATGTTGTCTTGGACACAGTGGTCCAAACCCTGAAATGCACCGAGCGTATCCTTGGCTCACTCAGACATTAAGAGCATGAGGAGTTTCAATAAAATGCTGAACAGCTCTTGGACTTGGGGCTTAGTAAACAATTGTTCCTTAGATGTTTGTTCTTTTTAGACATTGTGCCTGTTTCCTTGTTATTTATTCTGCTGATTGGCTTCTCTGGATTGCTTTTGGTCTGGACAAATAAGTCACAAAACTGGGAAGAGGCAAGCTCAGAAAATGTAAGCAGTAAGACTTCTCACAGACCAAAGCTAATACTGGCTGACGCTGTAAATTGTGCTGCCTTTGTGTGGTGAATCCCCACGCTGGCGGAGACACGTTTGTACTGGGGGCAAATGGATCAAGAGGATCAAAAAGTAAGGAAGCCCTCTGGGCCCCGGGGTCCTTCCCACCGCATGGGCACGGGTGCTGCAGGGTCCCCTTCGGGCACAGACAGCACTTGTCTGGGGTCTGGTTTGTGCTGGGCTTCTCGTCCTGTAAAGCCAAGACTTGGAGCAGCCTGCAGGACCCCACAGTCCCCCGCTAAAGAGGGATGTCTCCAGAGCACGGCGCTTGGGAAAGCCTCGACTTTGGGCCCAAGGAGCCTTTCCTGGATTTCTCCGGAATGTGTGCTGTGTTCTGCTTTGTGTAGGAGCTGCTCCCGTAGCACGCTTGTCGCTGTCCTTCGTCTTTTTGCTGTCTAGGGCTCCCTCTGTGAAGAGATGTACATTCTCTCAACCCTGCGTTAAAATGTTAAGGTTTGAGGTAAACCTCGTGAGGTCATTTTACCCATTCCCTGACACTACCGCAGCATAAATGTTGATGCATTTATTTAATGATTTGCCTGCCGTTTCTGACAGATGGTTGTTTAGTCTTATGCATCTTGTGTGATGGAGCATCCCCAACTTTTCCTGACATCTTGCTCAGTTGTTTTGCTGTTCTTTTTTGCAGTTTATTCTGGGCATTGTTTGCTTGGTTGAATTGGAGTTACTGTTTGTTTCTTCATCGGTGCTTTATCATGTTACTGTTTCTGTACGCTTCGCATAACTTTTCTTCTTGGAGTTGAAGAGTGATTGCACTGTATCATCTCAGCTGTGTTAGAATGAGAAGTTTGGGGAGGGGAGGTGGCACCTTCGAGGCCATTGATCCCATCTTTATAACTTTGCCCTTTTAGCTAGGAACAGATTATTTGTGCAGTGGTTCGAGATTGCACGGGCAGAATCAGAAGGACCAAACTTTACATAAACCATTTATACTAAACGTTGGGAATGCTGGCAACATAAATCAACTACAATATCTATTACAAATTTATCACTTTATCAGTATTATCTTTGATAGAAGTGGTCCAGACACGTGGGGAAGTGAATCGTACCTCAGGAAGTTTAGCGCTCTCGTAAATTAATTATTCAGGACACACAGAGCCTGGTCCCTTCAATGTATAGTAATTCTTTCTAGCCAGCATCCAGGACTTTAACTTTGGTGGCAATAATAAATAGGAAAAGTCTCAGGTGAAGCCAGTATTTCAAAGTAATTAATCATCTTCCCCTCATGGTCCTTCCACCTCTCTCTTGGTTTTCTTTAACGAGGGAATTTCAGTAATAAATCTTTAATGATATATGTTAAGAATCCTTCATTAATTCTTGTCTACTTATTTCTCTTTTTTTTTTTGGATGCTTTTATGTTGTATGTTGGGAAGTTAAGATGCATATACGAGAAAAAACAGTTACAGAAAGCTGATAATTTGGCACAGACTCTGAAAGGTTGTTTCTGGGATGTTGAGTGTTGCGTGGTACATTTGCTAATGGGAATTGCTGATTAATACTGGTTGGACCGTCAAAGCAGTCCTTAGATACAGTTGCGGAATTACAGCATGGTTGCACAGGGAAAGGTAAAGAAAACAGGTATTTGTCCTTTATTAAATTGGAGGGGAGCACCTAGGAATTCTCTGTTTTGTGGTGTGCGGGGGCTGTGGGTGCTGCGCGGCCTGGGAGGGTCCCGAGGGAATGGCACGCGGGATGTATCTTTAAATCACCCTGGCTAGACGGGAGCAGCCATCAGGCCTATGCAGCGTGACAGGGACAGATGTGACAGATGGGTTCTGACACCCTTCCATACC